AAAAAAAAAAGGACCAATACAGCCCATTTTGTAAGGATTTTGAATGTTTTGTAAAGTATTGGTCCATGTGTTGTATTTTGTAGCCTTTCTAGTTCTTGGGCTTTAGTTCTCCCACTTCTTGTATGTATGCATACTGTAGTTACACATTAAAGTCATGACCTGCAGCACGTGCCGCTGTGCTTATTCTCTCCAGTTCCATCCTCCTTGGCCAGTTGCTGGCTTTTTTTCAAGGTCTTTTCCACCCACCCCAGATTTGCAGTTTTCCAGTGTGTTTTAGGCACTGCCTCTTAGCAGGAATAACAGCTCATTTTGCAGCAGGAGGCCTGAGAGAAGAAACTGGAGCTTAATTTGAAATTCAAAAGGAAAGGACTCAATACAGCTTCTTGGGGAGGGAAATACTTTAGTTGGAACTCCATAGGCAGAATTTTTCTGATTGTTGTGTTGGAGAGAGATTATTTTTCCTGTACCTTACTTAGAATGGAGGAATCCAGAGAATCTATAGTAGTCCAGCTTCACTTCTCAGGAGTTGCTCCCTGTTAAGACTTTCTTCATTGTGAATCTTGGCAAGTTTCCTCGTTAGTTGTAAYGAGGCTGGGTGGCTTTAGCATTGCTGATTCTCTGAACTGTTTTTGCCTGTGCCTTTCAGCCTCGTGGACAGTAGGGAAAATGAGTCTCACTGCTTTCTTCTTAGGAAAACAATTCCAGTTTTAAGTCTAGCTGCCTGCCTGTAAGGGGCCACATCTGACTTCTCCTTTGACACCCAGAGTGCAGACTAGATCTTGGAGAGCACCGAGCCGGTGGCTTGTGGCTCAAGGGGAGCTTTCCATCTGTTCCTGGTCAGTGTTTTGTCAGTGCCCCTGTCTGAACTCTTGCCAGTTTGTACAGTTGACAGTAGTGCCCAAGCTGAGCCTTTCAACTAAGGGCTTTTAGCGCTGGGTGCTGCAACTCTTACTCATCCACCTTGATTTGGATTAGGCTACAGGGACCTCCCAGCAGTCTTTCTAGTCCAGATTTTTTGAGGTTTCCTTGATATTTAAAACCAGCTGTAACTGTAGGCAAAGCTTACATTAGGACCATAAAGGAGTGTGTCCTGTCTTAATGACCCCTCCTATTGACTGTGCTAAGGCTCCAAGGTTTCCGAAGAAATCCARGTTCTGTGCTGACACTTCTGTATGTAGCTGCTTCCTTCAAGCCTCAAGAGCAGCTAGGGTGGGGTAGAGGCTTGAAATYTCCCAGCCTTTTGGAGAAGAGCCAAGAACAGCCAGTGCATGCAGAATGGAGAAGGGGAATGTAGCCTAGGTCATGGTAAAAACACTGCTCCCCAGCGCTGTGGTTAGGGTTGTAGCTGACCTCTCTTATCCAAGCAAATAGCCTGGGCTTTGCTCGTTCCCAGTACTTCCACTCTGCAGCAGGATCAGGAAAGCTCTTTTTAGATAGGACTTTGTACACCGTGGAAGTGGACGGCATTGGCTGGAGAATTTCCAGTTTTGTTGAACACAGCCTGGTCTGTAAACCTTTACTGTTCCTTCATATAGAAGCTGCTGAATGTGAAATACTAGCCCAGCTAAACAGGATGCAGAGCAAAGCCTCATGTCAGGAAAGAACCCACCGGAGCAGATATATCCAGTGCTTAACCTACAGCAGCTGCAGAACTGTCACCGAGCCCTTGTGTAGCCCATGTAGACAGTATGAGGCTGAGAGATCCCCATGTGCTCCCGAGATAGCTACCATGTGCTTTTCACAGAGGTAAGAGGAAACTGCTTGCTGTGCTGTGTTTCCATGATCCTCCATGGAGAGCAAATGTGGGTGTGCGGGTGTCCWTCCTCCCGTGCCACTCGCTGAGCGCAGTCTGACATGTCCAGCTGCCAGAGCTTTACTCGCTAAGCGTGACCAGATGGACTTCTGCCCCTGTTCAYCTGGGTAAGTAAGAACAGCTCTTGCCGTAAATCACTGATGCTAAGTGAGGGAACGTGCTTGTCATAATGCCAATGTCTGGCTGGCTCCTGCAAGTAAATATTGAGAGATCTGACTTTTAATTAAACCCTTCAGAGGAAGATTCTGCTCCTGGTGCTGGTTGTGTTCCAGACCTCTCACTGTGTAAACCCCGTCTCCCTTCAAACTACTACTTCAGCCATAGCTGTTTAAGGATTTTCTTTATACAGAGGTAGATCAGCCTGGTACACAGGGAGGGACAAGCGGGTGCAAATGCCATCTTGCTTTGTTGGTTGCTGCGGTACAAGTGGCCAGAGGCCCTTTTTAAGTTCAGCTCCRGGCGGTGGCCTTGCAGGGGCAGCCAGATGTTCCTACTGTATCAGCTCCAGGAGTTGATGCAAGATCCTTTTCTGGCCGTAGCGCACGTGCAAGGCCTGCTGCTCCCTTCGGCTCAGTCTCTCAAAAGCCTCCTTGTTATTCAGCAAGTCCTCATCTGCTTTCAAGTCTGACCTGTAGGACTGCAGGGTCAGCAGCACGCTGTCGCAAAGCAGCTTCTTGCAAGGGTGTTTCAGTCTGGAGAGAGATTCATTAGAAAGAAGAGAGTTCTCCTCATCAGTGTCGTCTTCCCAGCCATCTTGCTCCTTATACTCCTGGAATTCTTCTTCGGACATGCACAGCACCTGTAATCGCCCGGGCAAGGAGACAAGTCGGTGGCTGTGCAAGTACATCTGGATTTGCTCCCCAGGGGAATAGGGCTTGAGGCTGTGTGAACAGGGGAGTTCTAGTGCTCAGCTGCAGTTGTGCCACGTGACAAGGTACTTGGGATTGGGCATCCACATCTAACTTGTGGGGCTGGGGGAAGGTTGAAATGGCAAACCTGGGTGCTGGGAATAGCCTTCATCTCCTCTGCTACCCTGAAGGCACAAAAACTCGAGAAGGRCAGTAGCCCTGAAGCCATCCAAGATTGGCACCTAAGTGTGCGGGTGGATGGCAGGTTTGGGAAGATAGTAATGCAGTACCTGCAGTCCTGGGGGGGCAGACAGGTCCCATCCCCTATCACTTTCCATGCAGAACAGCTGCTGCCAAACTGCCTTTACATGCTGGTGGCCCTCAGGTAACAGTTTTGTAGCACAGCTGTTCAAACCAGCACCCAGCTYATCTGGGTTATTCCTGTTCTGTGGCTTTTCACTCGCTCAGCGCCGCTCACCTTCAGCGTCACGGACAGCTCTTCCTCTGTCAGCACYTCATCCCAGCCAAGCACAAAGGCCCCTTCCTCGCCAACCATGTCCAGGTGGCACAGGAAGTCCCACTTCTCTGACACCAGCTTCTTCTCTGCTTCGCTCTTGGCACCTGTTTAGAAGACAGGAGCACAATGGTGAACCCTACACAGCTCCCCTGGGATGAAGCATCTTAAAAGCAATGGGAGGACCTTTCCCCTTCCCCCGGAGCCCCATTTCATTAAACACCTATTTAACATCCTTTCCCAGAGCRGTTACAGGTGCCACTCACGCTGCAGCGCTGCTTTGCGCACTGTCACCATCTGGATGTCAGCCGTGTCGTTGGTGTTGCCAGGATAGGGCTCTGCAAAGCCATACATGTGGAGCAGCTGCCAGTTGGCCATCTGGCCATAGGTGTTGAAGATCTCTTGTCCTTTGCTGATGGGTTTTGTAGCGACCATCCGCAAACACTTCTGCAAGTAGAGAGGGAAGACAATCTAGGAGTGGGCTCACGATGCTGCTGCTGCTTGCTGGAGGAGGAAGATGCTTCTGGGGCAGCCAGGCCTGCCGCAGGTTGGGGGACATGCCACCCCTCAGSCTTGACCCCAGGAAAAAGCTGACACTACTTCTGCATTCATGTAAGTGGGAGGAGAAACAAGGCTCAAGGCTACTGCTGCAGCACAACCACTTTCAGGGAGTCTCAGATGCCCCAACTTAGGTGCAGCAGCTTTCTCCTGCTGCACCCTGGGCCGCCCTCGCTGCTTGCAGCAGGGCCGTGGTGCTGCCCTGGCTTCAGGCAGGGCCGGAGCGGCTCTGCAGCAGCCGTCCCCAGGGGCAGGCACCAACGGCTGCACTCACCGGCGTGTACTCCAGGTTGGCGTTGTGGTTGGCCGCGTGGTTCAGGATGTCTGCTACCGGCACCATCATGGGAGGGTTGGGGCCTTTCTCGTCTTCATCCTCTTCCTCCAGAGGCTCCTGAAAGCTAATGCAAGGGAGGTGAAGACGAAACGGTTCAGACCCCACAGTACAGAGGAAATTTCAGCTTTCCTCTAAAAGGCTGCAGGCTCCAAGAATGCCTCCTGAAGGATGCAAGAACATGAGTAACAGCCTGTGRTCATCTCCCATGCTGCTGTCCCTGTCGTACGTGAGCCTGAGCCGTGGTCTGTGTTTCCGTCCCTTCTCACCTATAGGCCATGACAAATGCCACCAGTTCCTTGTACAGCTCCAGCGTGTGCACCTTGGGATCAAAGATGTCCGGGTGGGAGTGCATGAAGGGCAGGATGATGGAGCTGTACTCCAGCTGGATGTTGGCGAGGTCCTTGTCTACTGCTTCTGGGATACCCGTGCCCTGCAGGAGCCGCTTCCGCTCCTCTTCAGGCCTAGGGTGAGAAAAAAAGCGAGTTTCTGTCCAGTGCAGAGAGTCCATCAATTCCTGCGGCCTCCAAACCGCGAGGCTGGTGGCAGCCCTGCTCGTTGATGTTCCCTGCGTCTTTCAGCAGCCAGCTGCCCGCCTGGGCCCTGCCTGGGAGGGCTGCAGCAGGGCMGAGGGCAGCGTCAGCCTGTCGCCCCCTTTCCCCCCACCCCGTGTTGAGCTGGTCCCTGGATGAAGCCTGGAGGGACTGAGCTGCCCCCTTTGTCTGTACCACGGAGCGGCTCCCTTGGCTTTACCAGAACATGGGGTGATCCAAGCTCCTGAAGTCCYGCCAGAGCGCCAGGTAGGGCCGCCAGCGGGAGCTGCTGCTCGTGTACTCGTGCAGCAGGGCGAGCAGGAGCGGCACCCAGCCCGACTGGCTCTGCAGCGACTCCCRGGCTGCGGAAACAATGAGGACAGAGCAGGGCTCAGCGTGCTGCCATTTTCAATCCYTTCCCCCACGAAAATAACTTTATACGAGTCAAAGCTCAGCCTAAAGGAAGAACATCCCAGCCTGAGTCCTAAGCAGTCYAAGCTGCTCTGGGCTTGGGCCACAGCTTAAACAGAACGAGCAGGAGCTGTGACATTTCGGTGGCCCAGGGCAGGGCCCTGCAGCCTGGCCTGGGGCACAGCCCCAGCCCCGTTCCTGCTGCTTCCTGCCGCCGAGCTTCTCCGCTGGCTGTGTGACGCAGGAGCGCTCCCCRCCCCGATCCCCGCTGAACGGAAACGGGCGGCACTCACCTTCCCGCAGGAGGCCGTGGATGGCGCAGGTGTCCTGGGAGAGCAGCGCGGCGCGGGGCACGCTCAGCAGCACCTCTCCCGCGCGCAGCTCCCCCGCGGCCAGCAGCCCGTAGGCGGCCACGGTGCCCTCGCTGCTCACGCGCACCTGGGGCGAGAGGGGCCCGTGGGCAGCGCGGGGCACCCCCGGCAGCCCGGGGCACCCGCCGCCGCCGCCGCTCACCTTGGCGCTCAGCTCCAGCCCGACCTCCTCGCACCAGGCCAGCAGGGCCGCCACGGGCCCCGTGCTGCCGCCGGCGGCCTGCGGGCACGAACGCGCGTGAGGCACCGTGCAGCCCCGGCCTGGCCCGGCCCGCGCCGCCGCCGCCCCGTTACCTTGCGCCGCTTGGCCGCCGCCGCCATGCAGCGCCTGCACTTGCGCGCCGACCACGTGGCTGCCCCCACGGGCGCTCCTTCCGGGAGGCGGCCGCGGAGGGACAGTGGCGGGCGCGCGGCTCCGCTCAGCGCGGTGCAGGGTCCGCACAGAGCAGGGCGGGAGCCCGGGCCGGCACGGCGCATCTGCCCGCGCCACCRGCCGGCTCGCTCGCCCGCCATGCATGGAGCTGCCCCTTGAGCCGGCCCTGCGCTCGGGTCCGGGTGGCTCCYGCGGCAGGTTAAGCTCAGGCTGCTGAGGAGGCCGCCCTGGAGGAGCGTGGTTTGGGGCAGCCGCCGGCCCTGCAAAGGACGAGGCTCCGGGGCGCGCGGGCTCCTCATGCAACGGGTGCCTCAGCCTCCTCCTCGTCGCTGTCTCCCAAGGGAGAGCAGCCGCGCTGCCCACGGCCGGGCCTCTGYGGGCCGAGTCGTCCGTGGGGCAGCCCCCCGCGCCGGGGAACCAGCTTCCCCCGCCGGCTGCTCTTCCTGAGGAGGCCGGAGCACAAGGATGAGGACGGCTCTGGAGCTGGAGGCCCAGAGCTTTTTGCAGCCTTCTGCCCGCAGGCTCCGCTGCCTCTCGCGGGCGGCCTCGCAGCAGGGCCTGCAGCCCAGGCTGGAGCAGGGGAAGGGGCCAGGGCCCTGCAGCCTCTCGGTGCCCGCTGCCCAGCACCTGCAGCATGTGGGGCAGCGGGAACCTGCGCAGGGCCGCAGGCAGCTGCAGCGCGGGCAGCTTGAGTGTTGGTGCCGCGGAGCAGGGCYGGGCGGGAGCGGGGAGCAGGGCAGCCCTCACCTGTGCAAGGCCTGGAACTGGGGAATGCAGGGAGGGCCCCTCACTTGGAGGCAAGAGGCAGGAACTCACTGGAGGAGGCTGCCAACACGAGCAGTGAGAGCAGAGCTCGCAGAGCTCCCTGCGCCAGGGCYGCGAGATGGGTCTCAGCCAGGACAGCCAGATGTGCCCAGGCGAACAGGCCGGTAGCCAGGCGTGCAGGAGCACAGCGAGCTGAGCGGTGGCGCTGAACAGAGAGGTGCAGAGGCAGGGCAGGCGCCTGCCAGGAGCACGTGGGAATGGAGGGAAAGKGGGATTAGGGCATTGCAGAGCTGGRAGTTTCTCTGGGACAGAGCGGAGTGCGAGGATGAGCCTGGCTGTCTCTGGCCATGAGCTGCTGCTGGGAAGGTCGCTCAGGGGCTTGGGCGCTTGAGGGGTTGCCTGGACCACACYAGTTGCCTCCATCACCCACCTTCTCTGTGTGTCAGGCGCTGGCTGCGCAGGCCAGGGCCCATGACAGCAGGTTTGGGGGATGGAGCAGGAGGTGGGAGCAGGGCCAAGAGTTACAGCAGTGCTGGARAACATCAAGGGAATTCAGCAGAGGAAAGAGTGGAGGGGGAAGCTGCCAGCATCTAATGACGCGGGTTAAGCCAGGCTTCTTGAACCTAGTGTGGCTGGCTCTGCTGGCAGCAGTGCTGGAGGTGCATGCGTCTCCCACTGACTGTGCCCACTAGAGCCAAGTTAGCAGCTTCGCCCTTGTCCGGAGCCTCTAGGGATGTGGGAAGCAGTGGGCAGCGTCCCAGCCATAACAGCCCTCTGTCAACCAGGACCACTCCATCAAGTCTTCCATGACGGCGTGCAGGGAGCCCCCACAGAGCTGCTCAGTGCTCCCAAGGCAGGCAAAGCTCCTGGCACAGGTTGCTCTTGCTGAACGCGTCCTAGGATCAGGCTGCTCYGAGCCACGAGGGATGTTGTGCGAGCCTTGGAGCTCGTGGGGTCCGGCCAGGACTCYTCAGAGTCCCAAAGCGGAGACCTGCAGCTTCCACAATAGCCCACCCTGTGCTGAACTGCCTGGTAGCTTTGGAGAAGTCACCGTGGCCACGGAGAAGAATGAAATGGAAGAATGGATCCGTGTCGCCATCCTCCCTGAGTTGCCTTAGCGACGTGGGAATGGCAGGAAGCTACGGGCAGCCCTGGCCAGCCCCGTGTTACCTGTGGCTCAGAGCACGTTGTGCAGGTGCTGGTGGCTGCAGCCTTGAACGCAAAGCCGAGTCAAGACCAGGCCACAGCCATCGACCAGCAGTGCCAATGAAGATGAAGGGGATGGAGATGAAGGGGATGACACAGAGGCTGTCACGGGTGCTGGTGGCACTCGCCATCAGTGCAGCGCCACTGGCAAGGACAGCCCACAGAGAGAGCAGTGAGGAGGAGGTGARCGAGCAGCGTGTGGTCAGCCCCAGGCCTCAAGGAGGGCAGACGTGGGAGCCACGTGGGCGTGTGGGGAGATGCCGGGTGCTGGCTCGTGCAGCCTACTGACGTGCCCTGCCCAGCTCTCCTGTGTTGTGCCCAGGCCCTGCACCATTCCCCATGCTTGTCCATGGCATTGGAGCAGTTGGCACATGAGTGAGTTTTTGCTCATGAGGCCTGAGGACAACCAAGGCCAAAGCTGATCCTTACCTTTCAGCCAGAGACCACGCCAGAAACGTGCGCTGGGTTAAGGCTGCTCCGGGGCTCATGGGCCCAGCCCCGGGCACTGAGTGGCACGCGGGCTGGCRGCACCAAGTGCACGAGGGCTGACTGGGCTGGGTGACGGGGAGCAGGCAGTGCTTGCCCTGCACCCACACAGTSCCTCGCTCATGACTCTCGTCCCCAGCAGAAATCGCGGTCTCGCTGCAGGCGGCACCGGCTCCTCAGCGCGCCGCGTCGGGCCCTGCGCAGGGCTTTCTGCTGCACCCGTGTAATGGGACAACGAGAGACAGCAGCGAGGACACAGGGAGCCAGGATCCTGCAGGTGACCTGCGTAGTGGTCCTGGAGCCTCTCTGCCTGTTTTGGTGCATTCCCAGGACCTTTGAGTGCTTCCCAAGGCAGCACAGGGCACTTTAGATGCGGGCAGGGGGCCTCCATGGGCTTTTTTAAAAGCCCGTGTGGCGTTTAGTGTAGGCCTAGGGCCTCAGAGAGCCAGTTGGCGGTGGTTCAGGGCCCCTGCCTGTGCTTTTGGGTGGGAAAGGATATTTTTTTCTGCCATTTGGGGTAGGTCAGAGGCCTGACGAGGGGCCTGCGAATGTTTGGCCTTAGATGCTCACGTTTGGGTGAGCCTTTAGGGGCCCCCGCTTTCACCTGCTTGCCTCTCCCAACAACCTAGGGCCCGAGTGACCCCTCTGGCTCCCTCAGTGCTGCTAGGTTGGTCAGGCAAATTGGAGGCTTAATGGGGGTGGTGGTTGAAGGGCTTTATTTTTGCAGGCAGGAGATGTCTCTGGCATTTCTTCCCTCCCTTTCAGGCCATCAGCCCAAGGAGCTTGGACAGCAGCGCTGCTGGAGCGGCAGGCGGGATTGTCTCCTCCTCCCGGGAGATGGGGTGAGGCAGCACTTGAAGCAAGAGCAGATTGCCAGCTCGTGCGTTCCCTCCTCCTGGCACCCTGTGCCCCTCAGCTACGGCAGCGGGACGCACTGCCAGGGCACCCGTGCAGCAGGCACTGGGCAACTGTCCCTGCCAAGAGGAACAACCGCCCCGGGGCCAAGCTTCCACTCTGCTGTACGGGGGATTGTACGGGGGGGACGCAGCCTTCCCCACTGAGGCCAAGCCTGTCCGCTGTCCCCCAGTCCCCGAGCAGAGAGCTACTGGGCTGCATGGCCTGTGCCCCTCACCCCCCCAAATCACCATAGGAGACAGTTCCAGGGTGCAGCATCTGCTCCCCGATGCAGAAGGGCCGTGGGGCCCTGCCAGGAGCAGCAGCACCCAAGTGCTTTGTGTAGGGGCAGGAACCCTGCGGGCTGTTTCTGTTCCCACTCAAAGCCGTTAGTCCAGGGAGCGTGGGAGCAGGGTGCCCCCGACACCCACCTCTGCCTTAGAGAGACTTGACAGTTCTGTGTTTTGCTTTGTGTTTGTCTTACAGTCTCTTAAAGGCTCTAAAAGACTTTAAGGAAAAAGCAAATCAGCCTTCTTTATGAAGAAAGAAATTCTCATGGCTCYTTGCATTTTCTTTTTCCTTAAAGTCTCTTGCAGCCTTTAAGACACACTTTTTTTTTCTTAAGAAAGTTGACTTGACTTGAAGATATCTTTACATYAGAGACATTAAGAGACCCTTAAAGGAAAAAGTGTTCTGTTAAGTTAATAAAACTTAATAAAAGTTAAAGCATTCCCATTCTTCCAGCAAATGCTACTGAAAGCCAGTGTTTATTAAGCCGGTTTTATTTGTGGTTCTTAAGTCCAAAACTTTGGCCAGCTACTTCTCCTTCCAAAGAAGTGGGGAATAAAGTGGGCAATAGCTTTGAAGTAAGCAACGTGCAGACTCCAGCCTCCTCCTACGCCGAAGAGGGTCTCTAAGTTACCCGCTGGCTCCTGAGTTGCTCCGGGAGAGGAAGGTGAGAACAAAACCCAGGGCTGCTGCTGGGACGGGGTTGTCGCGCTCCCAGGCAAGATGCAGGGCAGAGCCCTGGGCACCTGGGGGATGAGCGGGTGGGAGGGAACGCGGCAGCAGGGATGCTGGGCAGCCCATAGGAAAGAGCCAAGGCGGGAAGATATGGAAAGAGTAGCATGAGGCACTGCAGGCAGTTCCTCTTGAGAGAGGAGAGCAGCAAGAGGCTTCAAGCCCTCCTTTGCCCCACACTGGGGAAGACAAGCAGCTCTGCACCCACATTTCCACCCACCCATCCCTCAAATGACCTGGATGGTGGGAGTCTAACCTGACCCGGGTGTCTCTGCAGTGCCCTGGGCAGGAAAGCACACAGCTTGGCAGTGGTGAAGGCCATGGCAGGCACCACAGCAACCCGCACCAGAGCGGGGTGACTGCCCCGGGTGCGGTGGCGTGCCTGGCTACCCTGCAGCAGGCAGGGCTGTTGCGTGCACTGCTGTGCTGCAGCACTGTGCCCTGCACTGCTGGCAGTGCCGCAGCACTGTGCCCTGCACTGCACTGCT